ATAGATAGATAGATAGATAGATAGATAGATAGATAGATAGATAGATATTTTGTCAAGCAATTATAACAGGTATAAGTATAAACATAATTATGAGTACATGAAATTGATACATATAAAAAAAATAAAAAAAATAGCATAGGGACGGTAGGCATGTTGGTGCGCTTATGCACGCCCCCTACAGACCTCTTAAGAAAGGGGTGAGGTCAATAGTAGACAGTCTAAGGTTAAAGTTTTTGGGGTTTGGGGAAGAAACCACCGAGTCAGGTAGAGCATTCCAGACATTGACCACTCTGTTGCTGAAGTCGTATTTCCTGCAATCAAGTTTGGTGCTGTTTACCTTGAGTTTGTATCTGTTGTGTGCTCTTGTGTTGTTATGGTTGAAGCTGAAGTATTCATTGACATGTAGGACATTGCAATATATAATTTTATGTACTGTACTTAGATTGAACCGAAGGCAGCGTAGTTCTAGGTTTTCTAGGTCTAGAATTTCAAGTCTGGTGACATAAGGTATTCTGCAACGATTAGAGGAGAGAGAGAGAGAGAGGGAGGGAGGGAGGGAGGGAGGGAGGGAGGGATGGATGGATGATAGTGTCATCGACGCAATGAAGATTAATTTGAGCTAACTCCAGTAGACGGTGGACAAGAAGGGAGCCTGGGGTGCTATGGACCATGGGGTCACAAAGAGTCAACACGACTTACTGTATTTTTCGTAGTATAAGACACACTTTTTCCACCCCCAAAAGTGGGTGGAAATGTCTGTGCATCTTATATAATGAATGCTGCCGAAGCCCCCCACCCCCATCCGCTGGCCCCCCCCCCACCCTTCGGCCTCTGCCTCCTTGCAGCAAACAGCTTGTTTCAGCTTCAGCACAGCCTGATTAGCACAAGCAGCTGATTGTCGGTTGGATCGGCCTCCCAACGATCAGCTGTTTCAGGCTGCAGGGATCGCCTATTGCCGCCTCCATGTGCTGCATTCTCAGCCTCCACATCCCATTTTCAAACTCCGCACGTCCTGCTTTCGGCCTCCGCATGCCCCATTTTCTGCCCATTCTGGCCAAAAAGGGGGCGCGTGAAGGGTGAAAACAGGATGCGGAGGCCGAAAATGAGGCATGCGGAGGCGGCAATAGGCAATGGCAATCCCTGCAGCCTGAAACAGCTGATTGTCGGGAGGCCAATTCAACCGACAGTCAGCTGCTTGTGCTAATCAGGACAGCCAGGAAGCTGAAACAAGCTGTTTGCTGCAAGGAGGTAAATTGCTGGGAGGCAGAGGCAGATTTTTTTCCCTTAAGTCGTCTTATACTTCGGGGTGCCTTATACTCTGAAAAATACGGTAATGACTGAACAGCAAAAACAGAGTTTCTGAACTTCAGCAGATATAATTGTGGTTAGAGGCTTTTAAAACCGGGGGTCTTAAATGAACTCATGAAAAAAACTCTTTTAATTATTAAAACTGAGCCTTAACTACATCATGTTGAAGTGTGGTATGTGGCTATTGTTTTCTTGGGAGAGGCAGTGGGGATATATTTTCTTCTCTCTCTTGGCACTCTTCAATTTCTGATCTCTTCCCAAAGTTTCCCCCCTGTTCTACTGAGTATGCAACTCATTAGCATTTTATTTTAAGGAGTGTGTGGGTTGAGATCCATGGTATGCTTGTAAATAATTGGATGTCACCACTAATCAAACTTTGGACCTCGGAAGTTGCATTGTGTCTTATAATTCTATGCAAATGAGGAATGCATTCCTAGAATGCAATCCTGATCCATTTTGATTTAGCTCCAGTTCTGCAAAACTATAACCAGAAACGTTTGGCCTCTTCCAAGCTTCAGCTGAAACAAAATTGAGATGGTCAAGGAGAGCAAGTCTGGTCCTTCTTGTTAATTAACATTTATTTCAGCTGTTTGCCCACAGCCAGGAATTTGGAACCATGAAGGTTGTCTTGGCGATGATGACTAGCTACCTCTGACACTTCTCTGTGCAATAATGACTATACAAAGTCTGCTTCTCAATTTAAAGATGTGTGGACTTCAACTCCCAGAATTCTCCAGCCGCCCATGCTTGCTGGGGAGTTCTGGGTATTGAAGTTCACACATCTTCAAGATGCCACGGTTGAGAAACACTGATTAGAATAGAATAGAATAGAATAGAATAGAATAGAATAGAATAGAATATGCTTTATTGGCCAAGTGATTGGACACACAAGGAATTTGTCTTCAGTGCATAAGCTCTCAGTGTACATAAAAATATAAGTGATAAATCATGATCATAGTCATCATAAATACATTCATCATGCATCATAAGATACAACACTTAGTTGATAGTCATAGGGCACTAAATAAGCATAAATCGTACTAGGAAACAAAACAATATAAATCATAGAAATACAAGCAACATGGTTATAGTCATAAGTAGAAAAGGAAATGGGTAATAGGAAGGATGAGAAGAATAGTAATACAGTCTTAGTAAATAATTTGACAGTGTTGGGGGAATTAGTTGTTTAGCAGAGTGATGGCATTCGGGGAAAAACTGTCCTTTGTCAAGTTGTTCTGGTGTGCAGTGCCATATAGCGTCATTTTTGAGGGTAGAAGTTGAAACAATTTATGTCCAGGATGTGAGGGCTGTGTAGATAGTTTCACAGGCCTCTTTTGGACTTGTGCAGTATACAGGTACTCAGTGAAAGGTAGGTTGGTAGCAATTGTTTTTTCTGCAGTTCTAATTATCCGTTGAAGTCTGTCTGTCTTGTTTGGTTGCAGAGCCAAACCATACAGTTTTAGAAGTGCAGATGACAGAATAATTCCTCTAAGGAATTATTATAATTCTTTATTATAATATGTATCATTCCTTAGAAGAATTCTAAGGAATGATGTATATTGTCTTGGCAGCAAATAAGAGGGAGTGGTGGCTGAATCAATGTCCATATTCTGGTTTTAATTGAATACCAGCTTTTGTGAAGTAACAGCCAAAAGAGATTCCTTGTCAAAATTAGAAATGGGATGGTGGCTTAAGATTTTTCTTGTCTGGCTCAAAAATCAGCTTCGGGATTCTTGTTTCTCTTTTAATCTACCTAGAGATGGGAAACTATCTCCAAGAGCCAACTCAAGAATGTGAAAAAGCTGTGGCAGAGAGAGCAGCAGAAGAGTGAAGCCAGAGAAAAGAAGGAGGTAAGTTGGCAACTATCTTCTGCAATGCTCAAGGATGAAAATGTTCAAGATGCCCTTTTAATTTGTTCATTGAAACAAATGAGAGAATAGAGAGAGATTTAAATGAAGTTGGATCTTCCGTGGCATCATGTAACGTGGGAGTGAAATATTGTGGATTAGTTCCCAAATTCACAGGTTTCCATATCACCTTACACTACAGGAGTTCTTGCAAAGCATCAGCTGGGTTGAAGCATTGCCTTGAGCTAGGGGTCTCCAAAGCTGGCAATTTTATGACTTGTGGACTTCAACTCCCAGAATTCCTTAGCCAGCATGAGGAATTCTGGAAGGTGAAGTCCACAAGTCTTAAAGTTGCCAAGTTTAGAAACCCCTGCTTGGCATTTCTTGGCATTTTCACTGAATGTGTTGTGTGAACCTTATCAAACCCAGATAAGCAAACCATAATCTTAATATGAACGGGGAACCTGGTCATCTGCTGATCCTTGCATAAACCAGCATTCCAGACCAGTAGATCTGAATCCAAGTGGATTCCAGACCAGTGGATCTCAATCCAAGTGGATCTGAATACCTCTGGAGTGTCATCACCATTCAGATTGTTAGCCCAACTTCTTATCTTGAACTTTTGCATTTATCTTCAAAAGCTCTTGGCAGATACATCAGAGTTCTTGAGTATAACCATACAAAAGGAAGCAGTTGTCAAGAATTATCATGGTGTAATAAATAGTTACAATTGGGCCATTCAGTGTCAGGTTTAAATTGTCACTTATTCATTAAAGTTATAGAGAAATATTTGGCAAGTTGTCAACTTGTTCAGGCATAAAATGGAGCACTAATGTGATTTGTTTTGGTTTACAGTAAGGTGCAAACCATCCATTATGATGGCCTTCCCGCACTTGGCACTGTCAGCTCCCAGAATTCTCTGGTGAACATGACTATCAGAAAATCCTGGGAATTGGAAGTCCAGATATCGGAATGGCACCCATAAGGCGTGCTTTGTTTGAGTAAAGTAACATTGGCTTTGTTCTCAAATCAGGATAAGCCACACATTATAGGGGATATGCCCCAAACTTTTAGGTCAGCTTTTTTTAATCAGATCCCCAAACCTAATCTATAGGCAGAAGATTTGCTGCGACGTGAAAAGAACTTGGAGGAAGCAAAGAAAATTATCATGAAGAAAGACCTCAGCCTCCCGGAGCCCAAATGTGTGAGTAACACCTTCAGAAAAACAACGCACATTGTGAACTTGCAACATGTTGGGGGAAATGGTAGTGTATGTGTGGAAATTAGCTGGATGGTAGAAGGGTAGGTTACATGGTATCTGCATGCCCCATTCTACCTCCATGTTCCTCCCTATCACGCCAGATTTCCTTTTTTTCTTTTCTTTCTCTTTCTTTCTCTCTCCCTCCCTCTCTCTGCCTCCCTCCCTCCCTTATTTACAATACCCACCCCATATTCCAGATCTATCCTAGCTCCAGACAGTGGCCTACACCAATTTTTTTTCCAATGGGAGAAGCGACAGAAGAGCAATGTAATTCTGTATTAACTTAAGAGAACTACAGTCAATACAGTTTCCCCCAGCAAATTTTGGTATTGCAACTTCCAGAATTCTCAGCCAGGTAGTGGGATGTTGGGAGAATTTTGCAAGAAACTGAATATAAAATATAAAACAGTCTCTGATCTACTGGGACTCTCCAGATATCTAGTATGGTTGAGGTATTGAGGTTGCATTAGATTTAGAAAGACTCCATACTGGAATATATTTCTAGCTCTATAGCCCTTTGTAAAGATGAAAACCCAACTATATTGAAAGTATCCTCAAGGGGAAAGTAATATCCTTTCAGATCAGAGTGTCCATCCCAGGGAGGACATTTAAAAAGTCAACTGCAATTGAAGCTTCATCCTTTTTCAATGCAGCCGTCATCTTGTCTTCTTTTTTTTAATCTTCCCCATATTGATGTCCCTATTGACAGATTCTGAGCTGGCATGCTGGCAATTATTCAATTGCGGATTAAAATCTACCTTATGTGTATGCCCTGGAAATGACACGATCTAACTTTGATGGCATGGCTGGATGATCAGGAAGGATCTTGTGCATGCTTACTCAGAAAACTGTAATTGGGAGGCTCTGTCAAATTCCTGTTGGGCGGCCTTTGTTGCATCACCCTGGCTGTTTGCCTTCACAGAAGCTGCCAAACTGACCTTGCGGAAAATTTAAGAAAACCCATTTACTACCTTAGCCATTTTTTTTCTCTGTATCTGCAGCAAAGGCATGAAATGTATGGGTGTGGGTGAGTGTAGAGGGTGGCAACAGTCTTTTTTTTTGATAAAGGCCAGTGATAGTGATAAAGGGATTGTGTTAGAGTGATAAATAGCTAAAATTAAAATGATGGTTTGGTAGTATCCAGAGTTTTTGTCCCTGGTAATTCTCTGTAACCAAGCGAGAGGAATATACATGTGTATCAGAAGATGTTCCAATTATACTGTAGAAATTCCCGATTTGAATCAGATTGATTTGCGCAGGAAAGCCAATATCTCTTTTACGATAAAGAAGTTGAGAGTAATGGGCATATCCCCCTAACTATAGTGCACCTCTGAACATTTTTGTCACCTTGATTTTTCTCAATTATTTCATGGGGGCCTAACCCTAACCCAAAGGAGATTTCCATACCAATGGTTTTTTTTTGCATGCTAATAACTAATATGCTGTTATTGTGCTTGTCTGTGTAGTTAGCCTGTGTAATTAATGAGATAGATTGGCTGATTCCTGTTTAGGGCAGTGGAAGCATCTTAAGTTTTGAACAGCGGTTGTTGAATAACCTCTGGCTAGGAAAACACCAGTAGCACCAGATTCTGAATGCATTTTAGAAGATTCTGATTTCTTCTGGATTCTGAATTGGCAGCCTGTCTCTTTATCTCTTTAAATTACCTGTCTTTTTACAGGTGAAGATTCGTACCCTGGAAGCCTACAGAGGGGAAAGAGTAAAGGTGTTTGGTTGGGTCCATCGATTGCGTAGGCAGGGTGAGTACCATCTAGCACAGCCGAAGGGTCCTTCCAGAACAGGGTGTCAAACTGGTGGCCCGCGGGCCAGATGAGTCACACGCAGGCCACGCCCACCCCTGCAAATAGGAAAAAGATCGCATGATGCAGCAAGTTTGATACCCATGTTCCAGAAGATCTGGATATTTTGATCTTTGCAAGTGTCACTGACTCCCAATTGGAAAGTGATGTTTTGTTTGCCCTCCTATGGGCTACAGATATGATGGAATATAAATTGCAGATAGATGAGGATAAATAGTCTAGATTCTAGGCTAACGTTCACAAGCAGTGAACGTTAAGCTGGAAAAGATACTGAGAGGTGATCAGAGTTCTGGGAAGCCAGAAGGAAGTAAATTCTAGAAAGAAACTCTATCCATGGAATAACTACTACATTATTCTTTCTGAACCCTTCTGTTTTGTAGTCCTGTCCCACTGCCTAATACTTACACCCTAACTGCCCCACTGATAACTCTAGGAACACGATGAGTTACATCCAATCAATACTTGCTCTTTATATACAGTGTGATCAGATATAAAGTAAAGGTAAAGGTAAAGATTCCGCTCGCACATACGTGCTAGTCATTTCTGGCTCTAGGGGGCGGTGCTCATCTCCATTACAAAGTCCGAAGACGTCTCCGTGGTCATATGGCTGGCATGACTAAACGACGAGGGTGCGCAGAACGCTGCTAGGTTGGCAGAAGCTGGGAGAAGTAATGGGAGCTCACTCCGTTACATGGTGCTAGGGATTTGAACTGCCGAACTGCCTACCTTTTTGATTGACAAACTCAGTGTCTTAGCCACTGAGCCACCACCTCCCTTTTGTGATCAGATATACCTTGTTCTATATCCAATTACATGTATGCTTGTAATTTGCATATATTTATAAAGAGGCTCTCCTTGTCAGAACTAACTTTGCCTCCAGTGGTGCCCATAAAGCTGTTTGAGCTTCAGTGTAATATGTTTTGGCCTTTAACCCTAACATGCCTCACCTTCTGTCAAAAATGTCAATGTATCTGCCACCCATTAAAGCTTTTTTCCCCCTAGACTAGTTCTTCGGATGCCAGCAGATTTTTTTTTCTGGCTTCTGCCGAAAGTATTTACCTACTTCTCAAGGCTCTCAGTAAGAACGAGTTTTGAAATGATGGGTAGGAAGAGAAACCGTTATTTACTAACATGGAAATTAAATGATTATACAATTGATATTCTTTCTCTTGTTATACAGGGAGAAACTTGATGTTTATTGTCTTAAGAGATGGCACAGGCTTCCTTCAGTGTGTCTTATCAGATGAACTAGTAAGTTTCCTTTTCAGTCGGTTCTGACGTGCATCAAAATCTCATATCCTTGTTAATTTTATTCAAGCAGCCCTAAAATCAATTGAAAGTCAACATACGATGAAAGAAAGGTAGAAAAGGTTTCTTGACTGCACATCATCTTTTCAGTTCTGTGGAAAACCTCCATGGTTACAGGGAGGATATCACTAAACAGCATGGTTGAAGTGACAACATCTTATTGGCGTTTGTGGGATAAGGATTGTGAAGCATAGCCCAGGGATCAGATCTAAGACATTGGACTTAACAATCCTTATCCCACAAAGGCCAACCAGATGTTCATCATACAGTCTTGCATTATCATCATGCAACCTTCATCTTTTATTAGTGAAACCTGACCGAACTTTTTATCTTCTCATAGCTTGTGTTTTCTCCCAGAAGGTAGATTCTGTGATATTCCAAGTTTTCTGCTAAGGCTTTCAGCTTTATTCAGTATTTTTTCTCCTACATCAAATTACTTTGCATTCCATTTTTCTGGGCTTTCATCCTTTCCTCAAGTGGTTTGGGTATAGCCCCAGCACCCTTCCAAATTTGTCCCAAAATTGTAGTTTTCAATGTGAAAGAACAGAAAAGATCCTAAACACACCAGGAGCAATCACATTACATTATGTTTAATATGATTGCTCCTTATATGATTAGAATCCTTTTTTTTTCATTTTTATCTTGCTTTCGTGTTCTTTAGTCTTCAACCTGCTGTACTGTAAAAATATTTATCCATTCTGTATACATTTGCATTCCTGTATGAAGTTCTGTTTTCTATTTCTTTCCTCCCTAATTGGTGACCAGAGTGGCTGACAAACCTTGTTACAATGTGGTGTGACTGAATCCATTAAAATGAATAAGAAAACGGGTTATTATTTTTAAGAACCAATTTGGTGTAGTGGCATCAGGCTAGAAGCCTAGAAACTGTGAGTTTTAGTCCTGCCTAAGCCACAAAGCCATCTGGGTGACCTTAGGCCATGGGTGTCAAACTCAATTTCATTGAGGGCTGCATCAGGGCTGTGATTGACCCCTGGGGCCGGGTGGGCATGGCCAACTGGGTGGGCATGGTCAGCTTGATGCCACTCCCCAAACTGCTGACATGTTTCCTCTTTACATTGGATAGACTAGGCCGAAGCCATGCTGGCCCCATGTTTCCTCTTCGCATCAGGTAGACTGGGCCGAAGCCATGCTGGCCCCATGTCTCCTCTTCGCAC